CGTGGGAGCCAGAGGGGCTGGGGGTGGGAGAAGGACCGGGCAGCAGGCTGGCGCGGTTTCTGGTGGAACCGGTTCGGGAATCTCTCCCAAGGCCCCACCCGCACTGGGAGCGGGTTCTGCAGACAGCTCTCCTCCTGGGAGGGGTGAGCGAGAGCCTGCACCCGTGGGTGCATCCAGTGAAGGGCAGGGGGGAGTCTCTTCTCCTGGTGGGAGGTGGGCACGCACTGGCGACCCTGAACTCGGCTGTGCTTGTTGGCACTCCGGTGGGCAGAGAGCTCCAAGTGAGGTTTGGGTCGGGGCCCAGCCAGGGGTTAGTGCCTTACACCAGGAAGGTGGCCTAGTGCCGCCCCTGGAGGAAGTAGATGGACCACAGTCATGCTTGGAGGGAGCCTTGAGCTGTCCTCCTTTCTTGGCCTCACCTCTCCAGGGACGCCCAAACCTCTGAGTCACCCCACCAAGTCTAACAGGCTGGGGCGAGGGGAGTAGAAGAGGAAGGGAAGATGATTGAGGAGAGGAAGAAAAAGGGTGGGGACATGGGCTAGACTCGAGTGCTTTCTAAATTTCTTGGCTTTTATTCTTTATTTTTTTCTAAGAGATTTATTGAGAGATAATTTCACACATCATGTAGTTCACCCATTTAAGGTGCACCATTTAATGGTGGTTAGTACATTCACAATTGTGCAACAATCGCCACAATCCATTTTAGAACATTGTCATCAACCCCCTTCCCAAAGAAACCCCATACCCTTTAGCCATCACTCCCCAACTCCCATCCCCCAGCTCTAGGCAACTAATCTGCCCTCTGTCTGTAGGCTGGTCTATTCTGGACATTTCCTATAAATAAATGGGATCATATAATATGTGAGCTTTTGTGACTGGCTTCTTTCACTTAGTGTAATGTTTTCAAGAGTCATCATGTAGCATTGTAGCATGTATCAGTACATATTTCATTCCTTTTTATTCCTGAAGAATATTCCATGGTCCTAGTACTATTTAAGCAATTGATGTCCTCTCTTTTCCTTACCCTTCCCTGCCCAAGCGAGTGTGTAGTGGCATGCAGACACGTGATGCTTCCTAGTGTTTATATCAAATCTATTACGCAGAGCTAACTTTGAATTATTTAATAAAGGCTAAATAATGAATTTTGACATTTTTTATAAATTGCCTGTTTAGTTTAACTTAAGTAACAGCTGTGACTCATTGCTTTGTTGACTGCAAAATTGAGAATATAATTTTACTTTACAGAGAGTTTTTAAGGGGAAAAGGAAGTATTTACATTTTTGTTCAAGAAACCTATTTTTCTTTTCATCTGCAGAGTACCTTTTACAGTTATCAATGCCTTCTTGGGGGGGCTTTTTATAGAAAAACAGGCTAAATTTGGAGACTCTCATTTTATAAGGTGTGGAATATGCAATTAATGAAGATAACAGCAGGTGACTAAGCTGAATTATCTATGATTTACAAGGTGATAATTAGTTATATAAAAGAACAGAAGGAAGGAAAGCAAAGGATTTATTTCAAAATAATAGGATTTGCATTAGAACAAATTGAATGAAATTCAGAAGGCTCAAGTTTTATACTCATGTCAAAACAATCTAGCTAGTTTTTTTTGTTGATTAATTATGGTAACGTTGTTATTTCTATTAGCTCCTAATTAATCAGTGTTCACAGGGGTGTGTGTGATGCTTTTAGAACCAGGTGCCTCCTCATTCAGCCTAGCGGGGGAGGGGGGTGCGTGGAGGAGGGCCCTGGAGAGGCCTGCAACAGTAGGCACAGCTGATGCTCAGTCCAGTCACCACAAACATTGAATAAATGAGTACTGAACCCGTGCTTCTAGAGGAAACTCAGAGTTAGGGTTCCTGTGAGCCTGAACGTTTTGGTCTACTGGTGTGTTATGCGTGTTGTTTTACAAAGATCCCTAATTTAATATACGTCGTTAAATCCTTAACACTGAACCCACAACCAGCACAACTTCTTCAAAAGGCACAGCACAGCCTTCCTGTGCTTGAGCTCACTCGACAGCACCTCGGCACTGTGCCTGAGGCCATTTTAAAGAGCGAAATCACCCACCGAAAGCACAGAAATGCTGAAAACATGGCACTACATAGGTTTCAAAAAGGACACCTTCTCTACTGTATGGGAGCGGAACCTAGAGGGCAGAGCTTCGCTTTGTTTAACCTCAGCGGGGAACACGTGCACCCAGGGGCTCGCATTGTTCATGCTCTACGCATGCACATGTCTGCCGGCGCTGGAGAGGGTGCTGTGAGGGTTGCGTTTGGAGTTGCAAACACATACTAGCAAGTTGGTGAGTTTGCAAATACAGAGTCTATGGGTGATGAGGACTGGCTGTCAGTGCTTCCCGCCGTAAGTTACGTAGGTCACTTCCATCCATGTTTCATTGGCCAAAGCAAATCAGAAGGCCTTAAGGGTTGGAATCCGGTCACGCTGTGTTCTCAAAGAACTCAAAGAACTGAGGCAAGCACCAATGTTTAACCCTGATATCTTTAGTCATCCATCGATTATTTGATATTTGTGGCAGAGTTTATTTCCCAAAAGTAGTTGTAACATTAAGTCCTGTGCAACATGCTGTTCTTATAATGTGACTTTGCCACACCTTCCACCGAGAGGTGAAGATCTACGCTCCCTTTCCCTGAAACTCGGCAGGTGCGTGACTACAGTAGAAGTCGCACTGTGTGATGTCTGAGGATAGATCATTAGAAACTTCCATCCAGTTCTCTTTGGAACACTTACTCTTAAAAAAGCCAACAACCATGCTGGGAGTAAGCCCAAGCAGCTCCATGGAGGCCATGTGTGGGTCCCGAGCAGAGGTCCTGGCTGAGAGTGGCATCAACCACCTCACGTGTGAGTGACCAAGGGCTCAGGCAACTCCAGGCCCCCACCATTGAGTCACCTTGGAGCATCCTCAGTTCTTCCAAGCCGAGGCCCCAGAGGTTGTGGAGCAGACACAAGCTAACCCCACAGAAGCCACAAAATCTGTGAGCATAACAAATTGTTGTTATTTTAATGCCACTAACTTTGCAGTGATTTGTTTTTCGGGAATAATAACTGAAAGAGTACCTTCTATGTGTAGTGCTGTAGAGGTGCTGGTGGGTGTTAGCAATGAATAAAATTTGGTTCTACTCCACATGTTTTTCAATCAAGTCATTCTTTACTTGGGGGTCATTCTTGCACCCACAATGTAGTTAACTATTTGGTCTGTGCTTGTTTGTTAATCCTCACCGGGGGCCATTATTTTTCCATTGCTTTTTAGAGGGAGAGAGGGAGGGAGGGAGAGAGAGAGAGAGAAACATTGGTGTGAGAGAGACACATTAATCGGTTGCTTCCTGCACATGCCTCAGAGAGGGGCCAGGGAGTGAACCCAAGACCCTTTGGTGTTTGGGCAGAGGCTCTAACCACTGAGAACACCTACCAGGACAACTATTTGGTCTTTTTATTGTTACCACTGTCTCAGATATAATGACTATAAAGTTGGTATTCTAACAACAGGAAATGTAATCTTTTGTTTGCCCAACTTCTCCTTTATTTATTTATTTATTTATTATTTATTTAATTTTTTTTAGTGAGAATTATAATACTCATCTATTATTAAGACACAAAACAACCCAGCAAGCCCCTTTTATGCTAAGCATTTTGCTCAGTGCCTGCCACATAATTGCTTGATAAATGTTGAATGAGTGCCGGTTAGCATTTATCAGACACATAGACGTGGTTGAGTGTTCTTAGGTGCACCTGTGAACCCCTTTCTCATGGGCCACAGAAAATGAAGAGCCATTTATGGAATGTGGGGTTGAGGGTAAGAAAGCTAAGGTCTGAAGTTGGGAATGTCTTTAAAAATTTAATTCTAATCAATATAAGGCTTGATATAACTTCTGAAACTGTGGTGAGTGTTTATAAAAATAAAAAAGAGACGCTATTCATGTGACTTTTAAATGTTCATGCTTTTGAAGTAAAAGGAGACAACCCAATACCCCACAACTAGACAGCTCATATTCTCAAAAAAAGCTCTAAAAATAAACTAAATCCTTTATACAGCTAGGAGGAAATGTCTCTAATAGGTCACGTGGTTGGAGACCATTTCCTAAAAATGTAGGGCTGCTAAGATATTCCCTTAAGCTCTTAGGTATGGGGCTTTTGCTGTTGCCAGCACCATTGCATTATTCCCCGATTGGGACAAATTACAGAATTGGTGGGAATTTGACTTGACTACCTAATGACTTTTAGAACAGAGGTGTTGTAGTGCTCCCCGCTCTAGGAAGTGGAGCCACTCTGCCCCAGTCTTGAACCAG